TGGAGGCCATCGCTAGTAGGTTGCAGGCCATAGCTAGGAGGTTGGAGGCTATTATAGCTAGTAGGTTGGAGGCCATCGCTACTAGGTTGGAGGCCATCACTAGTAGGTTGGAAGCCATTGCTAGTAGGTTGGACATTGCTAGTAGGTTGGAGGCCATTGCTAGTAGGTTGGAGGCCAACGCTAGTAGGTTGGAGGCCATCGCTAGTAGATTGGAGGCCATCGCTAGTAGGTTGCAGGCCATTGCTAGTAGGTTGGAGGCCATTGCTAGTAGGTTGGAGGCCAACGCTAGTAGGTTGGAGGCCACCGCTACTAGTAGGTGTGAGGCCATCGCTAGTAGGTTGGAGGCCACCTCTGGTAGGTATGAGGCCATTGCCGCTACGCTGGAGGCCATGGCTAGTAGGTTGGAGGCCATTGCTAGTAGGTTGGAAGCCATCGCTAGTAGATTACAGGTCATAGCTAGTAGGTTGGAGGCCATCGCTAGTAGGTTGGAGGCCATTGCTAGTAGGTTGGAGGCCATCTATAGTAGATTGGAGGCCATCGCTAGTAGATTGGAGGTCAACGCTAGTAGGTTGGAGGCCACCGCTACTAGTATGTTGGAGGCCATCTAGTTGGTTGGAGGCCATCGCCAGCAGGTTGGAGGCCGTCAACCGATTCCATATCTTAGATACTCTCTCCCTTCCTTTTGACCTGAACTTCTATTTCAATTTCACAACAAAGGGACTCCTAATCCCGTGTTTTCTGGCCGTGGAATGCTTTCACATCGGGTCCGGAAATCCAGCGGAATCCAACGAATCTAGCAAGAAGACCGAGGTTTGCAACGAGAAATTTGGGTGATGAATCATCAGTTTGGGTGTGAACATTTCGGATGCACCTGATATCTCGTCTTCCCAGGATTCCGGAGGCAAACAGCTAAGGTGCATGGAGGAAGCACCGGTTGCTGGTTTCATCAGCGCAGCTTAGGAGCGCCCCATCAGCGTGTACCGAGTGGGATGGGGTATACAGTGCGGTATACCCCCATCAGATCAGATCCCAAAGTTTAATTTATGTTCATCCCAACACTCCCTTCACTTCATCCAGGGGCCTTCGACCATGGGATCTAGCCAGTGTTCATCAGGTGAAACTCGTTACAACTGCCTAATGCTGGCTTAAACCATTGGATGCTTGCTCAGCCATGCAAGTCATGGCCCCAAAGGGAAGAAGTCGCGATCTCTGCTCAAATAGGTTGTCAATGGTTGTTATATACGTCCAGAAACATCATGCCCATGGATACACTGGAAACCCACGAGAAAGCATTCTAATATTAGTCTATAGTCTATAGCTAGTAACCACCTGGTGAACAAGAAGATTCACAACATTGTGTACAGAGACCGACTGAAACCGTGCTTGAAACAGGGGCTATCAATATTTTAGATTCATCAAGTTATCAAACCCTAGGAATCCACATACCTCCTCAAAAGGTACGACTGGACCCTCCAAACCTACATCAAAGTGTCGAACACGTCACCTTCTCAAAGGCTATACATGGATCCTGCATGCAAATGGCGCCCGCTGCCGCATGCCACTGCCGAAACCGGATCACTTGTGCTGTCCCAGCTGCTTCGTGAATCAGCCCCAAGCAGGTGAACAAGTTGATGTGACACACGCAACGACTGACGAACTTGTAGTTCCTCTCAGGGACTTCAAGGTTTGGAAAAACCATGAAACCAACACTCCATGCATGCCAGTGCTTGAAGTGACCCAGGTGTACAACCCAGACTCCTATCGGTAAATATATATGACCCAACACTCCATGCATGCCAGTACTATGCCAGTACTAGGCTGAAAATCAATGACTTATCAGGCTGGAAAGTTGATTGGTCATGACAAAACACGATGACTTGAGCAAAGGGATTGTTCCTTTGGGGGAGGGGTTCGTTGCATTCTCCCGGATCTGATCTCTCGCGGAAGTGGCCACCTTTACCGGTAGACAGTTGGACCTAAATCAAGTCTAAACTTGGCCCAAGACCCCTCGGTCCTCGGTGGATCTCATAAAACAAAACAGAAAACGCTGGACTTTTAGGTGCAAGTCCGACTGACGTCGTACCCTGTGGCAATCACTTGAGTTCCAACCTGAAAGCCCCTACGTCGTTCCCCTCCTTTGGCGAAGCTTGATCATCTCCTCATCCACCCTCGCTTCCTTGAGCTCATCCTGTGCCTCACAGGTGGACGATGCAAACTATTCAAGACCTCCTGTTCTTTCTTTTTCCTAATTTCGATGGCCTCCAAGCTACTAGCGGCCTGAAAAACTCCTGGAACTGTAGACCTTCATGACTTCAGATCAGAACTCTTATTGCCATTCGCCGAAGACTTTCGTCACGGGACCTCCTGAGTGGATTGACCCGGTACATCCCGACCGTCTAGTGGATGTGGGGTCTACCCCAAAGGGTGTCCACACAGCAGATCACACCAGCCACGAGAAAGCTGAAAGGCTGAAAACCCACACGCACGCGCGGGTCTCTGGGAGAGCGCCTGTGGAAAAAGGAAGAAGGTTGAGAATTGCTTCAGCTCTGCAAAATCACTCCGCGTGAAGGCCAAATGCAAGGGAAGCCACACCGCTGCAGTCGTGCAGACGATCAGCAAAGTGTCCATAATGTTCGCGAGCAAAACGAGGGGGCGTTTGATGGCGACGCCAGATGAAACTCCCCCCCCAAGTGCAAGCCTCCCCAAGACCTTTCCTACACCCTTCGGCAAAGAGATGTGTCTGACAAGTCTCTTTTCTTCGTTTTCAGACTTGCTTTCCATCACGAGGTGTCGAGGTGTCGAGGTGTCTCGCAAGTCCCATGGATTGGGGGCTTTGAGGCAGTCGCTCGTCTCGTCTGATGCTTTCAATTCATCACCCACCGCAGATTCCTCATTCACCTGGGTTTTGAGCCAGCATTTGTTGGGCGGAACTCCACGCCAGGCTTGGTCACACCGGTGCAGTTCCGCACATCTGTCACCACGGCTTGGTGCGAACTTGGACGGACCCCTTCATGCAGCGGAAAAGTGGTGGATGTAGGCAGTATTTGCTTTACTTATAGAGACCATATATAATATATATAGTGTTTGGGGGCCAAATACGCTGTTTTTTTCATGTTTTTTTTTTCACAAACGATCTTGTTTCAGTGCGTGGTGACCAAGCTTCGAAAAGCCATGAAAAGCCAATGCGTTTGTGTGGCGAAGCAAAAGCTTGCATACTTCAAAAATTAATTTGCAATACCTGGTGTTTTGAACATCAGTGTAGGTGATTTGTGATAAACCTTCCAACGGTTTCCAAAATTCAGAGTTCTGAAGGGGTGATTTTCTGATCTCCAGGAAAAAAGAGCTACCGCTGGCTACGTTCGGCGCGAACCGCAGATCGGCCTAGCCCAACGAACCACCGGCGGGTGTTGTGTTGACCGCACATCGTGTGTTACGTGCACCACAGAGGTGGAGCAAGTAACAACGAGGTGAAAGAAACAGTCACACCCAGGGGTCACAAGACGGGGTGGTGTTTAGTCCCCAAGTGAGTGGAGTAGCTGGGCACCCCGACTACCTCCATGGATAGCACCCCGCTTGTGACCCCTGGACCTTGACGTTTTTTTTCTGCCGCTTTGGCATTTTGTGGAACCGTGGACCCGTGGGTTTCCTCCGAAAAAAAAAAAAAGAAAACCATGCTTTTCTGAATCAACGTCTGAAGAAGATTGAACTCTTTTCTGGAACCACCACAGAATCTTGAAGTCCGGACCTGGGCGCTACACTCCGAGCAGAATCGTGACCCTTTTCACGTGTAAAGCTGCAACAAAAAACAAGTTGAAAGCACATCCCGATGACCAAACCCAATCATTTGGTCGGGGCTGCTTGAGACGCACATGGACACATCTTAAAACTTGCAGGATACCGAATCCCGCACTGGGTCTCTCACCAGAGGTCTTTCTTGAATGCCATCCAGCTTAGGCAAGCCCCGAGCTTTCTCAGGACGAAAGCCTTTGAGGTAAAGCCACACTTTCCTTGGATTGGTTGAAGAAGCTGAAAAAGAACTCAGCTCTTCCCTAGAATTAGAACCCTACAAACTCTTAGAACAGCGATTCAACACACATTAGAAGAAATAACAAACATATCTCTAAGCAAATGCGGGGCTTCTGAGCCCCATGGATTCGGTGCAAGGTGGCCTCTTCGGCAATCAGCCAACCACTCTGACCGGGCAAATGGACCGTCATCCGCTTCAAGACTTTCGGTTGAAGGTAGGGATCCAGTGCAGCCTTCTCGGCAAATCTGACCACCTAAGAAGACGTCGAGCTGCCAGAGGTCTCGGGCCGGAAAAGTCTCAGCTGAGATCCTAGTATACATGCTGGGTGGTTCCAGCATGTTGCAGTCTGGGTCTTTGGCATGTCTTTGGTATCGGTATCGACCACTGCGTGACTGGTGGTCCGAGTTTTGGGGGGCTGCCGTAGATTCAGGACCTCACTCACCCCCACCCCTTGGCGTGTAGAACATCTGCATCTTTGAGCTCTTGGTTCCATCTTGGGACGTCAAGGACACACACACCGATGGGTTTGTATACTCAATAATACTAATACTCATCTGGGACAACTTCAAGGACAACAATCAATCATACTCATCATAGGCTTGTATATTTTTCAGTTTGCCGATTCCCCAACCCATCCCAACCCAAGGGGCTCCCAAAACCGGTCCAAATGCGAACGTGCGAACGTGCCCCTTCCGAACGCGGAACTGTTCGCCGAACCCACCACCGAACCGAACCCACCATGTCGACCGGATCAAAGGTGCACTGGACCGGATCTTCTCCCACTCCGTGGGCTTCACCAGCTTGCGCAAGCCTCGGCGAAGGCATGGCGTAAGCGATGGCGTAGTAGACGCGAGCGTCGACCGTAGTAGACGGGAGGTTGCAAGGGCGAGGTGCGGACGGCACGTGGCGTGGTTGACACACCGGTGGCGTGGCTCGGTCAAAGCATGTATGCGCCGTTTGGTATGGCACCTCCGAGGTGGATCTAGGAATTCGGCGAAATGGGCGAATGGGGTGGCCGGGACTTCAAAACGGATCGTCCCTCGAAGATGCTCTGACAAATCTTCTCATGGGGGCTTGTTGACTGAAAAAAAACACTGTTCCCGGCCTTTTGGTGGGCGCTCGATGTCAGGCGAGTCAGGCAAGTCAGGGAAACACACAAGAGCGACTCAAAAAAGATCTGCAGGAAGAATAGCACACCACCAATGCCCAGATGTTGGAGGCCGCTGGAAAGAAAAACGCTCCAGGTAGGAGCATAAACATCATAAACCTATATGAGCAACAGCCTTCTGATCCTTACATATCATCCGTATACCTTCTACACCACAACCATTGGTGGATTTCCCATGAACCAGCCATGGATGCTCATCAACCCACCGACTTGTTGATACACAGGACTTTGAGACTCTACAAGTCGACTTCATGGGCACCCTTTTACGCCCCCCCATTGGGTGCCCCAGGGCACGCTCCGCCGGGGAACCACCCGCCGGATGGCTCGGTTCACTTAGAAGAAACAGCACTCATGAACCACCGGGCTGGTTCGCACCTGTGCTTTCCACCTGTGCAAACAACACGGAACAGCCAAGGTCCCTGGGATCTCCACGGTGTCTCTAGGATCCGTCGCCGGTAGCGACCGTCTCCAGAAAACGGGACACCCAGCGACCCTCCCCGGTAGCGACCGTAGCGAGGTCCCGTCGCCAGTAGTGTGGCGAGTGTAGAGCTTTTTTCGATTGTTTTGGAATTCCAGGAGTTCCCAAGTGGTGGTTGTCAAGTATAGTGGGGAGTGTTAGAAACTATACTGGTAGAGACAAATCATGACAAATCCATTTGTTCAGCCACTTTGAAAAAGCTGCAAATGAATTCCAAGAAGCTAGGCATGCCACATTGCATGCCCTCCACCAAGTCGTCACGAAGCTCCCCCTCTTCTTCTTCCGCCCGAAAGATGCGTTCGAAGTTCAAGTGCACCTGCTGTACATCCTGTGTTGCATGATTGATCGCAAACACCGAAAATCAAAGTTGAGAATTCCTGCAATATCTGCCATGCTGGCAGTGTCCTTGCCTGATAGTTCCCCCCAATTTCGACTCAAACATGAATCCTTGGACAATTTGGTATGCAAATATGTATAAAAATATATACCTCTACCAATACTTCCAAAACGGGTGCCTATTGGAGGATAGGGGTGCTCATTATCCACTCACTTAGAGGCTAAATACCACCTCTTTGACTCCTGGTATATATATATATAAATACACTGTACATATATGCCTTTTTTTTTCTGGGGTCGTGCCCTAGGGCACTTTTGAGGCAGCAGGACAGTCAATACGAGCTAAGCCGACCCAAGCAATGCTTGGTTCGATGAAGGTGGCCGGAGTGGTCTCAGAAAAAGGAAAACCAGACATGCAAACAATGAACCACAGTAGTGTGTACCTTGGACTGACTAGGACTTAGGATGAACCACTAACATCCACTAACTCATTGGGCCATAAGTGCCTCCCAAACCTCGCATAAATAGGTCGGAATTGAAACAACTGGGCAGCTTCACGATGGGTCGGCTCCTGGACTCCTGGTGATTGATGGATCCTGCTGTCTGACAGCTGTAAATTCTTCAACCCATCACGTGCGTATGGGTACTTCTCAAGAAAGAGGAGAGCTGTCGAATCGCGGATAATTTGGAGGGTCCCCGGTGTTGGAAGAAAAAGACATGATCTCGAAACCTTTGTGTCCTGAAGCTCGGTCGTCACATCCACAAGCATGGTGATCTCCTGCAATTCAGGACCTGATGTCGGCTGTCACAAGAAACAAGTCACACTGAATGAGTCGACTCGTCGACTCGTCGACTCTTGCTGACATGGATTTGTTTTCTTGGGGTCGAACCAAACCCCAAGAATAGCGTCTGAATGCCATCATCATCCAATAGAACAAAAAAAGGGTCCAAGCTTGAAGATGGATGGCACTCAATTGCACAAGACTTGGCACTCCTTCTTTTCACACCCTTTAATCATTTTGGAAGCAATCAACACCTAAACTTGGACCAAACAATCTGATCTGATCTGCACCTTTTTCTATACAAAAAGCGGCGCCCCATGTAACTCCAAGTCCGCCAAAAACGCAAAGTCTCAACTCTCGAGATGTCGAAACCCTTCTCTGTGTTCCAATCTACCATCCCAAACACTCCATGTATATGATAAAATATATATATATAACTATATATATATCATTATGGATCTATATATTGATATATATAATATATAATATATATATAATATATTTAATATAGATATATAATATATATAATATATGTATATATAGCTATATATGCATATATATGCTATATTTATTTGTTGGGGTGGTTGAAAAGAGGTCAATCTGGGGCATTGTCTTTTTTTCCGGCCGAGGGACAAATGTTCTGAAGACATGAACTTCTGCCTGTGCTCCCAGAGATGGTCGAAGCTCTCCCGTCTGGTCGGCAGGTTCGGCCCTTGGCACGGCTTTCACCAGTGCCCCACTTGTTCAGGAGGATGGAAGGCACTGTGTCTTCCTCAGCCTCCGGCAGCGGACGAGGTTCTGAATCCTCTTTGAAGGCAATCCTGAGATTCGCGATGTTCCAAGAGCGGCGCGGCAAAAAGCCGCGGCAGAAAACATCATGGGACACGTTCCTACCACAAACACACAGTGCGTCAATGATGATTCAAAGGAAAGAAAAACCGTAAAGCAAAACACCTCTTTTTCAGCATCCCGAGAATCAAGTGGTAGGGGTCGCTGGAACCAAATAGCCCTGGTACAGGCACATGGTAAATATCTGCAGCAACTCGTATACCTGCCACGGGCTTCGGCGACCCCTTCGATTCAAGACGAAGGCCGACCCGAGAAATCGGGTCGCTTCATCGTCGATGGTACGAGCGACCCAGTCGCTTCATCGAGGTGGTCGCCCATCGGTGAGGATGTGCCCAGGAAGCTGGTGGATTTTTCTGGGCGTCACAGGAAGCTCTTGGACAACTGTTAACAGCGAGGTTTCTGCGGAACGAGCACACCCCGCCTGCTGATCCACGGAAAGACACCCGCAGGCAGAGGGGCAGGAAGTCCTTTGACTCCGGTGTGCCCAAAGTCTGCGTGGAGGTGTGAATGAACTCGAGAAAACGATGCTGTTCCTCGTCCACGAGCAACTGTTGGAAGGACCGGCCTTTGAGGCTCACATTGGTCAAAATCAGATGCTTCAGACACTGGCTTTCCTGCGGAACAACGACTTCGAGGCAATGGTTGCGGGCCCAACAACATGATTGGTTGCTCATCCATTGAAGGAACTTATGATGTTACAGTTCACTGAAGTCAAGCAACAACTTGTGCCCATGGACACGTTTTGTTTTTTGAAAGCCCTGAGGTTCAACGTTCAACGAATTTAAACATCTTAAATCTAAACATGTTGGATATACCTCACACAGAACCACGTCGGAACAAAGAAAACAAGACCACAAGACAGTGAAACAGTCACTTGTGCCACTTCCCCATCACCTGCATGGTTTTGAGATGTTTGATGATGTTTTGCGCTGCCTGGGCAATGTTCATCTGGCTATCCAAGAGCACTTCCCCATCACATGCGCCTCTCAAGACACGTTGAAAGCCTTGGATGGAACGAACCCGTCGACGTCGTCGCGCATCCGCTCCATCGGAGAGAGCTTAAGGATGCCACATGCTCCGTGGTGGAGCTTCAAAGAAGCCGATATCATGTGCGGAAATCGATGTGACGCGCCCATACGCGCCCTGGCGGATCGATTTTTTTGGCAAGCAAAATGCCCAGTTCCTGTAAACCAAGATCGCCTGCTGCAAAAACACATTCTTCGCAGCCTACACATTCAAGCACCAAGAAAACCCTTGCCTTTGCATACCTCATTGAGTAATTTGGTTTCTTGATGGTTGCCAGTTAGTTTGAAGTCACATGAAACACGAGTGATTAGGATAAACTATTAGGCTTCAAACACCAACGGACTATGTTTGTTGGCGGGTCTCCTTGTCCCACTGACAATGATTAAATGTTGTTTTTGCTTCATTAGTCAAACTCCTTTTGCAGTATCTTTTAGACTGAATTCCCCTTTATATACACTCTTTTTTAGTTTCCTGTTATACAAGTCTTTATGTCCTGTTGAATTCCTTCCCAATGCGTCGAATGTCTATTGTTTTAACTGTCTTGTTGAATTTGTGTTCAATTTCCTTCTATTTTGTGTCTTGTGTTTCCTTCAACATGTCGCTTTGATTTCCTGTTGGATCTCTATTTCTTTGAAGTCTCCAAAAAAACAAACCCGAGTGAGACACCAAAAGCCACCAACCACCCAACGCCAAGAAACCATAAACCCAAAGCCAAGAAACCACAGAAGCAAACGCCAAAAGGCAACCGTCACCAAAGCCAAGACCAGAACCCACCAAACCTACATGACAAAACAGAACAATGATACCAAATCAAACCGCAGTCAGTATACCTTCAGATATCTTCAAATTGATGGTTTGTAGGTTCAACTCTTGCGAAAGCGCAAGCAACCACTACTTGATCGTCCAAAGAAGATCTTTCACACACTCAAATGACTAGATAGGGAAAAAAAGAACATCTCCTAATCTCCAAAAGCAGCTTTTGGGGCTCTTGGGCTCTTGAAGGAGTTGTGGTCGAATTAGCCCATCCCACTTGACCTCCCAAATCCAAGCAGCTGGAGACCAAGGACTCGGCGTCCGCCGTGTCCAGCAAGGCTTCGAAGCGGCCCCGCAGCACCAGGTGGATGAAGACGGAACTGGAGATCGTCGCGGTCAACGTGAAGAATTGGCTGACCTGAATGGGGCGATGGTTTTGGTTCGGCAAACAGCTGACCTGCGTGGGGCTAACCTGGCTGACCTGAAGAAAAAAAGCATGAGAAAAAAGCACGTGAGCCATAGAAATTACGCCGGCACAGACCCCAGATAGCGGGTGTATAGGGAAAAGACTCATAGTGCCTGATGCATGTATTGCCTTGTGGATCCTTGAGGTATGCATCGTTTCCCTTCCTGGCTGAAATGGTGTCATGCCAGCATCCGCACCAGCACCCACACCAGCACCAGCACCTGCACTTCCCAAGAAAACTCCGATCCAGCGACAGCACCCGCACGAGCACGCCCCGAGCAAACGCCGATCCAGCACCAGCACCCGCGCCAGCACCCAGCACCAGCACAAGCACGGGCAAAGCGAAGCGCCGATCCAGAGCCACACCATTGAGAAGTAAGAACCCCTATAGCTTGCAGCTATCTGGGGAAAAAGGAAAGATCTTCACCGACCTTGACCTTGTGCACAAGACAAGGTCCAAGAGATGCCAACGCCAAAGTGCACAAAGCCAAGTCCATTAAGAATAGCCAAGAACACAGAATGGGACCACCAAATTCATGGTTCATGGACCATCACCAATGTCAACCAAAATTATGGTTTGTATTGTTTCGTGAAACACAGGTTGATTAGTCTAAACCGTGTATAATATATATATATATATGTATGATTAAATATATTATATATATAATGTTGTATGTATACAGAAACCAACAGAAACCTCTAAAACAGAAGCCAACAGAAACCTCAACAGAAACATAAACCTCAAGATCCTATGATTCCAACCTCTAAAAATTAACAGGTTCTTTGTAGTAACAGTGCTTAAGAGGTCACTACTGGGCACCCAATGGAGGATGCTGGTACATATATATATATACACACATACCAACAGAATGAAGCTTCTCTAAACGAGATTCGCCATGGAGCTGATCCTAAAAGTAGATTTCCGCCAAGCGAAATCCCATCAAGAGATCCCCTTTGCTGGGTTGAGAAGTTGGAGTATCTCCCAGGTTCAGATCCAAATGTCAAAAGCCTGCTCTTGTCAAGCCCAGGTCACACACAAGGGTCCCAGTTCCAGGCTCGACTGGTCAAAAACAAGGAGGTGCGCTGACCTTGCCGGCTTTGAAAGGATAGCTGAAATGCTGAACACCTAATGCAACAACTATTTATTATACATCCTCAGAAGGCAATTGTCACCCCCCAAACCAAACACCGCCGGAAACGGAAGATAAGCCCTGAGGGAGCAAACAACAACATGGCACCAAAAAAAGCCCTGGAGGTTGCATCGAAGGGCCGAAGGCCTGCAGAGGAAGTTTCCAGGAGGTTGGACAATGGAAATCATTGGAATATATTGGGAATCAGGACGGAAGCCTTCCCTCTTCAGGGCTTTTCCGGAAAGCTGGTCTTCGTTTTGGCGTTCTTCGGTGCCGGCACCCACAGAGCGAAAAACCTCGGTTCCATCGGTCGCTTTGTCGGTTGAGGGAGGGTGTTTTGGGTCCCAGCAGCATCTCCATGGCGGTGTAGAGCACTTGGAAAGGGATCGACATCCATGGGTCCAGAAAGACGATGACTGGGCAAAAGCGCATGGCCGCTGCGATGCTTTGCAAGACCGCGAATCGGAAGGTGGTCTCACTATGTGCGGAGCTGATGATGAGCAGGATCTTCATCAGGTGCATGCAGAAGCTTAAGCACTTCAGTCGCTGCGGGGTGAGCTCGACCCTCTCACTGGCAATCAACAAGAATTGCAAATAACTCATGATGCCTTGGATTGGGATCCACTTCAAACCATCACCTTCCCTCGAGTTTCCAGAACTTTCACCTGTAAAGAAAATATCCGCTGCACAAAAAAAAAAGCGGAGGCCCTAAAACATGCAACCTGCACCTGCCTGGATTATTCCGCGAACCAAAAAAAAACAAAGAAAGACTGGCCAGCAATAAGGATGCAAAAGAAGGCCCAAGTGATGGTGTCACATCCAGGTTTTTGAATCGCTTCATGGACCAATCCCAAGGCCGTCAACAGGTTGAAGTGACAAGCGCAACGGCTGATGGCCTCAGGTTGGCAACCCACCAGGTGACCACCGGTGCGAAACGCGGTTCACAACCAAACACATCCAACACCAACACCGGTTCGGGTGTCCAGTGCCTCTGTTCAGACCCCGAAGCAACCCTATGCACTGCCACCTTCGGTACGGTGATTGGAGAACCTGAGGTACGGTGGCAGTGGATCCCTATGGATGTGGATCCGGGCGAGCCAATAAGCATCCCTGTTCCAACAACTCCTGGAGTCAGCATTTCGGGTGGGCAGGGATGTTGCGATGCTTACTTGTTCATCCCCCACTCAAAGGCGTTGGCGTTCTTGTTGCAAACCTGCCTTGTAGTTCCTCTGACGAAGCTTTTCGAACTCTTCAGCCACCCTCGCTTCCTTCACTTCGTCCGCCTGGCAACTCCAAACAAAAAAAATTAAAAAGCGGGTGCGAACAGAAACAAGGTGAGTTGGGGAACCCCAAAGCAACACCACAAAGGACAGTTCTACAGACATTCTACATCCAGCATTCAGGTCACATTTACATTGTCACGCTCAATAACAAAACGTCAATCCAAATCCTGCTGGCACGTTGTCTCTTTGACACCCGTTTGTTTCACAAACATCGTCCGTGTCAAAGGTGGTGCGCTCAAGCCCCGTCAAGCGGCCCCCGCTGGCTCCTCCAGCAACACAGGTTCAACGGTGCCAACGTGTCTTTTCTCTCGATCGCCCTGCCCAAAACAGCCCCGAACTCGGGACACATGTGATCCTTCGTCCCATTCGTCCTCCATCATGCCCTGTCCGCGACCAAGCATCCTCGCTCACTTCCCTTCATGCCCCACCGCAGGCTTCGTCAGTGCTTTGGGGAGCAAATCCAAAGATCCAAACTACAACCCCGGCTTTGACTGGTTCCTTCGGCCAGAGCGTTCAACCATGTTCAACCTCTTCTAGGATCCATTCTTGCTGTCCCAATCAGCTACTTGCAAGAATTAGCTTTGCAAAAAAGCTGCTTTTCCGAAATTGGCCACATGGTTCTTGAATGTTTCTTGCATGACCGTCGTCGGTGTTTTGTTCCAGCAAACATGCACAGTCCCCTTCCTCTCGTGGTTTTTCCCCCCACAGACCCCACGGACCCCACCGGAGGCGGCCGTCACCTTGAGCTGCCAAATGGAGCCAAAGCTTGGAAGGTTGGCCAAACAGTGTCGTGACAACCACAGGTGCACCGGTGCCCAAAGAGCAGCTAAGGTCAGCACTGAGCACAGGGCGTCCATTGTTTCGCCGAGACAACGCCCGTCGCTGTGTTGCAGGATCTGTCTGTGACAAAAGTTGAGTGGTCCGTGTGATTTTTGCTCTGTGGTGAGTTTGGAGTGTCTGGCTGCGTGTGAGCTGCCTCTTGAGCCTGATCTGTGAGGCATCACATCCTTAATTACTCAGCCATGATTGGAATAGTTATAAAATGTTACATCCGCACCTATATTACGGTCACCAACAAGGTAAATGTATGTAACTATTCCATCCATGGATGGTCTGGGTCTTTTCATGATCTGCCCAATCGTTCCAAAATCGTTCCAGCAATCGCTCTAGTAGCTGGGTCGTGCGTCGCTTGCCCGCAAGCGCGACCCTGCTCAGCCCAGCTCCCACCCACTTTGTTCCCGACCAAAACATCCACTGAGGCAATTGCCAGCTGCTCCTGCACGATGTCTTTCACCGTCTGCACATCGAAGTTTGAGGCCTCCGGAAGAAGAAAAGAGAGTCGTTTTTTTGCGAAACTGGCTGTGCAAACACAGAGAAAAACCTTGACCAAGAAAGAAACCTATCTACTGTATTATAGAAGTTAAATGTGTTTACATAATATAGCATCGTGTCATTTGGCAAATTGATTGGGTGCTCAAATGCCTCCACCAAGCTGACCATTGATGGCACCAGCGCATGTGCAACCAACCTAAAGCAGTGACACCTCTACCATTTAGTAACCTTATGTCCATAAAGCAAGAGCTTGAAGGACTGGCAAAGGCAGTGAAATGATTCGACTGATGGCAGCATTGTTGAATCGGACATCGTATGGTATTTTCATAAAACTGTTCAGAATATAAAATCGTACCCCCTAAGTACCTGTTCGAACACATGTACAGTTGAAACGCGGCCAACCAGTACCCTGCTTTGACTGCCGTATTTTGTTGGAAAGAAACTTGACGAAGAAGGTCTTCAGGGTAAGATCTGATCACATGACCAAATAGGTTCACTTTCTGGAAGCCTGGGCTAAATATTAACCTTCATTAAAATATCTATAAATCGCCCTGACTTGGTCTTTATGCCGCAGCACACTGAAAGCGAACACCGCGCCACGTTGGAAGGCATGGCCGATCGATCAACGGGTGAAATCATGGCCGTTGGGGCTATAGATACCGCACAGTTTTCGGAGCAGGATGGTTTCAACTAACTTGAGCCCGCCGGCCTGCCGGCGTGTCTTGTGGATGTTCTTGTACTTGTATGCTTATATGCTCTTGTCTAGTACTTGCATTGTTCATCATTTTCGTTAGGTTGCTCCTCCGTGTGGATGTTGTTTACACCAAACCAAGGTTTACACCAACCACCATTTGCACCCAGCCACGGTTTGCACCAACCGCGGTTTACACGCTGGTCAGGACCGACCTTGTTTCTCTTAGTCTTGCACTCTCAGAGTCTGACGAACACATTGCACATGGAAGTGGAAAATTGTTAATTGGAAGACTGCCTTCCAACGAAACGAACAGGGAATGTTCCACCCCCATGTGATGTCTTCAGAGAGTAGTGGACTACAGTGGACGACCAACTTCAGCTGTGAACCTGAACCCGACTCCCATCCGATCCCTTCTGATCGGTCGATCGACCCGACACATGGCTCTCGACCGTTTCGGCCTCACCCTTGGGGCTCATCGCTGGAGTCGTGCGGAGTATCCTCTCCGCAGAAGGCGTGGGAGGCGTGCTGTGGCGAGCCTGAACAAGGTGACACAGAGACTAGAAGTGAATCCTCCGATAAGCCGTTCTATGATAAGTTTTACCAAGAATTGATAAT